GGGAAGATGCTGCATCCACCCCAAATTTTGCAGTCACTCTGCTCCCAGCGTTGCTGCCACCAGCCACCTGCCACAGCCCCAGCTTTTCCTGGCATGTGGATGTGAGGCGTTGAGCCGGGGCTGCGCCGGGCAGCTGGCGGCAGCGGTACTGGGACCGGAGTGGCAGGGAAATAAGGGGTGGATGCAGCATCCTCCCAGTGCTGCCGTCACCCGCTCCGAGCCCAGCCCCCGCCAAGAAGAGCCCCACGCATCCCTGGCTGCAGCCTGCCCTGCCCCATGCAGATCCAGGGGGCATGCACCCCGCCCCCCTTCCCTCCCAGGGTGCAAGCAGTGGCAGAAGCCATGCGCCCCACCTGGGCAGCGCCTGCCTCTGCCCCCTCCCTCACCTCAGGGGGCACTGAGTACCTCCCATGCCCCTTCCCTCCCACCTGCCCTTCCACCACACTGGATTTACCAGCTGGAGGCAGCTCTCCACACTGCCGGCTGTGCTCCTCGCTGCCTGAGTGCTGTGCTGTGGCTGGATGCAGGAGGAACGTTTGTTTATCGGCCAAATTATTGGCCCCATTGGGCTGATATATGATACAGCCAATTTTCTTTTCAAATATCTCCCCTTATTTATTTCTTTGCTTCAGTCTATTTTTCCTAGATTTTATTCCTTGTCTTCACGGGGTTTGTGGGGGGCTATAGGTGTGTGGCAGGATGTGTGTATGTGGGGTGTGGGGGTGTATGTCGATGTGGGTGGGTGGGTATGGGGCGTTTGTGGGGATGTGTGGGGGAATGTGTAGGTGGGTATGGGGTTTGTGGGGGGTTGAAGGGTGTGCATTGGGGGCTGTGGGGTGTGCGTGGGAGAGTGTTGGTGCATGTGTGTTTGCTGGGGTGTGTGCATGTAGCTGTGTGTGAGGCTCCCCCAGAGGTGCACGGGTGTGTGTGGGGGGGAGGATGTGGGTGTGTACAGTGTTTGTGGGGTGTCTAACTGTGTGGGGGGGAAGGGTGTCGCTGTGGTGTTTGAGGGTGCATTTGGGTGTACATGGGAGCCTCTCGCACATGCTCCCCGAGCCGTTCAGTCCATGCCTCACAACAGCCCAAAGCCCATGCACCCTGCCACCGCCAACAGAGAACAGCCCCAGAATGCCCTGTGCCTGCACCGGACTCACTCCCATCAAAGCGGATCAGCTGGAACCCAGGCACAGCCCCGACCTGGCCTGTTCCCCAATGCCTGCCCATGGTGCGTCCCGCCACCCTCTGGGCATGCAGCAGGGCTGGGGCAGCTCTGCAGCTGGACTGCCTTTCAAGGCAGCCCAGGCAGTCGCAGGGACTAAACGCCTGCTGCCACTGCCAGCCCATGGTACCGCTGGGGACCCGCACTGCACAGCCCCGATCCCACATGCCCTGCGCCTGGCTCCAGGCTTGCCTGCCCAGGCTCAGCAGGGTGGCGTGGGACAGAATCTGTTGCTCAGCATGGGAGGAAAAGCAGTCCCTCTCCTTTGCCACTGCCAGAGCTTCCTGGTGTAGCCTCCTGGAACCTGGGCCATGCCAGGCTGCCCTGCATCTGCTCTGCACTGCCACCGTTGCTCCACTGGGCAGCCCAGAGGCAGTGGTGACACAGCATAGGCACAGGGCAGCCCTGTGTGGGCTCCAGGTGGCTATACCAGGAAGCACTGGCAGTGACTGCTTTTACCCCAAGCTGGAGCAGGAGCTTCTGTCCCGCGCTGCTCCTGAGCCTGGACGGACAAGCCCACAGCTTGTGCAGGACGTACAGGGTCAGGGCTGAGCATGCCACCTGGGCTGCCTAGAAAGGCAGTCCAGCTATGGAGCTGCCCCACTGCATGCCCAAGGAGCAGCAGGACATGCCACAGGTGCCCGGGCCAGGCAGGACCAAGGTACCCACCACAGGCCAGACAAAGACCCGCCACAGGCCGGATCCAGCCCACGGACCATAATTTGCCCACCCCTGGGCTAACGGAAGTAGAAAGAAAGGAACTGAAATTAAAAACAAAAATAAACTTTCTTTTTAACCTACAGAGAAAGGTAAAGAACAGTCAAAGGAAACAATCAATCATTTGATCAAGCCAGGGAAGGTAGAAAGCTCATTTACACCATCAGTAGCTTAGAGATGAGAAAAGTAAGCAAGAACTCGCCCTCAGATACAACTCTATACAAGAAGGAGCCAACAACCTGATCCGCTAATACAAGGGCCCGACCTATTCATTGGGCAGGACTGGGTTCCTGCTGCTTCCCATCCTAGAGAAGTGCACCTAAGTTTGTGTTAAAAGCTGGGAGGGAACAACATCCTTTCCTTAGTCTGTCCAGAGTGAGCATTCCCTGTCCCTGGACCATGCAACAAAGCTTAGATATTTCAAAAACAAAGTCATAAAATTTATCTCAGGAGGAGGTTGAAGGTGGCTTGCGACAGACTTAAATCACTATCCTTTTGCCACTAGTGTCTGTGCCTTGAAAATGAGAAAGGACTTGATGTGAAACCCAGGTTGACATCTTAGTTTGAAAAAGGATTTCACACAGCATATAGGATTAGAGACAAGTTTTCTAAAAAGAGTGACTTCCCCAAAGGGAACAAAAGCATAAAGATCTACACAAAGTCATTGGGTCTCTGCTGATTCATTTGAATAATTACAATTATTTGGACATCAATTAGTATTACTTTTGCAACAGTTATTGTTTTGAAATGGCAACAGCAAGTGGTTGCTCACCCATGAATGCTGGAAAGTTGCCATACTTCCAATTGTTTCCACAGGCATTGATACTCTTGCCATATGACTGTTTGAAGCATTTTACAACCAGGCTCTTTGTAGATTGTAATGCATTTCTAGGGTTGCTTGCAGTGGCAAGATACTAAGATTTTTTTCCTTCCTCTCCCTTCCCTGCAGCAGGCAGCATTCTCAAAAACCCGCGCTAAATTGGGAAACAGGATTTTCCCCCCACACAAACATTCCAATGGGCTCTGCACTTAAAACGCAGGATTAAAAGTATCTTTTTCTTTGTACAGCTATGGAATTCGCGGCTTCTGATTTCTGATGGGGTGTGATGGAAACATTTCAGAGAGATTATGGGTTAAACACTGGAGGTCCTCGAGAGAGCTGCATCCCCCAGCAAACCAGATTCATAGCTGTATGAGAGCTTCTGAATGCATAAAACAGCTGCTGCATTTCCAATATTAAGATGGGACTGTCAGTATCTAATTTATTGCTTTATGAAGACCTCTGGGACACGTGGGGGATGGAAGGTGCAATTAAAATTCCTTGTTTTCTATTTACCTTAATGACAGTGCTTTATTTTAGCAGCTGCTGGGATGTGTTATAAGTAACTGCCCATGGATACAGATGAATCCATGTTCACAGTTGCCTATCAAAGTTTCTGTTCACTTGTGTGATGTATAAATATCCATATAATTTGTTTTGCAATTTGGTGACAGAGGGGAGTACAAGGTAGCTCTGAGCAGCAAACATTTCTCTGATTAGTTCAAGCCTTTCTTCACCAATAGGGTGCATATAGTCACAACTGGACCTGGTGGGAGGAGTGACATAAAACAAAGTGGCAAATTCTAGGGCGACACAATAGGGATGCAGTGCAGCTTGTTGTCAGCTGCCCATCTTGAGCTAAGAAGGCATCTTTTGCTGAGGTTAAATGAAACGCACCCTATTCCAAGAAGAGGGTTCCAAATATCTTCCTGGGAAAGAGCAAGCCAGATGGAGAGACATAAAAGTTTGTCAACGAAATCCTAGGATCTTCCAAATTTGGAGAGAGAACATAGGTCAGCATTTGTGTTTGCCGTTAACAATAAGCACCAATTTCAGGTAGGTTTTGAATCTATTCAACGGATTCTGCTATTCAGAGCAAAGTGGAAATTCCATCAGTTTACAACAGGCAACAGCTACAGGATGAAAGACTCTCTCCTGTTTGAAATGCAGTCTTTGTGGTGAAACACAGAGCACAAAGGGGTGGAAAATCAGCTCCCTCACCCATCAAAGCCTCTGCTTTCTCAGAAATGTAGCTTTCTTTACTGCACATCGCCAGCACTGGAAAAACAAAGGGGTGAGAGCGACTGTCAAGCTGAAATTCTAAAAGGCACCTAAGGGGGTGAGGACCTCAACTTCCTTTCAGTTTAATAGTGCCTAATTGGTGCCTAACTCCAATAAAAGTCTCTGGAAAATTAGCCTAAATCTCTGCTACAGTCAACAGGGAGGACGACTCTACACATACAGGTCTCATTACGATACAGAACAGAAAACAGCAAGTCCATCCACCTGGAAATGACTAATCCTCCAATTAACATGCCAAACACCTCTGACAGCACATTTAATTCACTGATCACCTAGTGCTTTATAAGGTCAAGTCAGCCTAATCCCCTTCTACCAAATGCAGGAATCAAAGCACACATTGTGCAGGTTGCTTTTCTGAGGCAACACAGCGAACCAGAACTCAGGTCCCCCGACTCCGAGTGCAATGAGGTGTCTGCTCACTAGAGCAATCCTTCTCTCCTTGGTTCACCACTGCTTTGCCCCTCCTAGCTTTAAATGTTTCAAGGGACGGAACAATGAGGCAAATGTTCATGGAGCGAGTCCGAATTTTTTCCAGTGTCCTCCAGTATTGCAATAGAGTACAACAGATCCATTTAATTGTGAGGCCTCCCATGAGTTCCAGACCAACTCTGCAAGTCTGTGGGGAGGGGGAAAAAGTGGGGCGTGTGGTCACATCTTTCTCGACTCTTTGGCAAATTTGTTATCACTCCCGGCATGGAACAATCTCTGCCCTCCCAGCTGGACTGTTTCAGGCCCTGCTCAAGCTTGCAAAGGAATAGGGAAATCTCCTTGCACTTTTCCCTTCCCTACTCAGAAAGCAAATGCAGGGGCACTTGGCCTAGCCTTGATGTAGAAAATCATGCATCACAGAGCTATCAGCAGCAATGGCAGTTCAGAGAATCTTGCCTCTCTATTCATGTCGTGTCCTCGGCTATAATACCGGTGCGTACCTGAAATCCATGTTTGCCTCTCCACCACGTGGTCAACTCCTTTGGAGGCATGTCGATAACAGACACAATGTCTCCCACCTAGGAAATAAAATAGCCACCCATTAACATGGTTACAGAGAAAGCACTGCTAGACTGAACACACATTCTTCTGCTTTGTGCGCAGCCCAACAGCCACATGAGTAACTGCACAAACAAGTGCCCTGAGGCATCATGCCTTGTATAAGCTACCAGTGGAGTAACAGACTTAATGCACTGTAAAACCTACAGGATGCACCTTTTAATGTATTCATAAGGAGAAGGTGTTTAAAAGGAGCCACAGGGAACAGAAATGTTCTGATTAAACTGTGCAGTACGTGTTGTGGAAATAAAGCACAAAACCTCTTGGGAAATGTTCTCTAGAAGCTGAATTCATGTTTGCCTTGTGCACCGTGTATGCCTGCCTCTCTCTCTGTCCCCTCCATGTTGTGCCCAGGAAGGGAAGAAATGTATGTAGTGCTCCTGAACTGACAGGTGCATGCTCCCCTGAATTAGGAGGCTAACACAGCAGTGAAGCAGCAGGATGTTACAAGAGTAGGACAGGAAGACAGCAATATCAAACTTGACAGTGGCCTAGAAAGATTAGTGAAGCTTTGCTTTTTTCCTTTAAGACTACTTCACTTGCAAAAATGGTATGGCCTGGGGTTTTTGTGGAAGCAGGTATGTGTGCACATGCATGTGAGGATTTTGCCAACTGTGAAGCAGAATGGTGATACTGTTCTTCTGATCTGACACAATATTGTGCTAAGTACTATAATAATTTACAACAGCAATAACCAGCTTTTCTACAGTGCTTTTCATCAGTAGATTTCAGATTACTGTGCAAAAGAGAGATCATCACCATGATTTCAGAGACCAGCCCAGAGAACTGGAGCACTCTATCTGCTATGTTGCATTACCACCCCTTGTGATTAGGAAAGCAGAAATCAGCCAGATCTCCTGAGTATTTAGTCTGAGAGGAAGGTTGTAGAGATAGCTTCTGCACAGTGTTTGGGATACAGCAAGGGGGGGATGGAATAGTGGTTAGGACACAGCAGAAAGGGTATGGACACATACATAATTGCAGCAGTTTCAAAAGAGCAACAGCTGTTACGTTGTAATTGCTACCAAAAGACAAGACAGGAATGATACAACTATGGCAAAATGGCTCCAGTTTTAACCCTAGATGAAGCAGTGATGAAGTTGGAGCACTTTTGCTACATTTGTATCATTCCCCGATAGTACCTACATATTAAAATGTAACAGCTGCAGCCCTTTTGAATCATTCCCTTTCTGAAATGGCTCCAGATGTACCAATGTCCATATGCAGAGATAGTGGAGACCTGTAATTTTATACCAAAACTGTATCAACTCTGTGAACTCATTCAAGCAGTAATCTCTATGCCTTGGTTGCCCTGTCTGTAAAACCTATGTAAGGCTAGTAACACCACCTTACTGAGCTTGTTGCAAAAGTAAACCAATGGTTTGCACAGAGCTTTGTGATAGCTTACAGAATACTCTTATTAGTGCAAACTATTTTATTGTTATTATTAGTGTTGGGATACTGCCAAATAGCTTGTGCCCCAAACTGTACATAATGTAACTTGAAAGGTGGCACACAGTCTATTTACTTATGTCTTTCTGATTAACTCAGTGCATGTTTCCAATAATTGCTTCAACTCGGAATCTGGACAAAACCTCCGGAGCACCAAACTATCTGTATTATTTGCCCATTGTTAAAACTGTGATGGTAGAAACCCTTGGATGCAGTGACTGCATGTTTCTTAATATTTGTGTGCAATGCTTTCCAAACTCCATAAACAGTAACAGTGTACGCACGCTGCACAGGCACAGCTTAATAGCCTGGAGGGACCAGGACCAGATTTCAATAGAGCCCAAGGCCAGATTTTCAAGTGCAGAATACCCAGCATTGGTGATACGTGAGACCAAATTTTCAGTTCACAGCCCTGCATACACGAAGAGCTGAGCTGTTTTGAAATGATGCCCCCTTCTTTTGGTGGGGGTGCATATGAGAGGTGCATGCTTCTCATGTTATATGAGAGGTGCAAGCTTTTGAAACTGTGACTCTAAATCAGCGCTTCCCAAACATTTCCTCAGCATGACCTCGTTTATGACCCCCTTTCCTCAGCATGACCCCTCACTCCCAACTCGCAGGCCCTCATCCCCTCCAGATGCCCCTCACTCCCAACCCATAGACCCCTGGCCCTGCTGGTGCCCTTCACTCCCAATCCACACCCCCCCGCCACTCCCCAGGTGCACACAGGGGCCCACAGCCCCTTGCCCCTTCACCCCAGCAGCGCCTGAGCTTTGGCTGATGCCCGCAGGTCACGACTCACAGTTTGGGAACTACTGCTCTAAGTGGAAAACTGTTCTTTGAGTAATATTCCTCACTCCAATTAAACATGCACACATGCCCACATACACATGCATACCAGAATGCCCTAAAATTATCTCTAGACAATTTTTAAGGTGGTGCAGAATGAGCTATTCAAAACCTAAGCTAAAACACTAAACAGCACCTATTTAACCTAAAGATCCTACTGCCGGTGTCAGCAATGGTTTTAGGTACAGTGCCAAAAACACCCACAACCTGGACTTGTAAGATGTTGGACAGTGGATGACCCACAAGGTGTGCTATCCTTATTGTGGCAGTGCAACCCCATCCCCTTCCACGCCTTCAACCCCGTGCTCTGGCACTCATGTCAGGGGTTGCCTACCCCTGTTCTACTGCCTAGCAAATTTGTGTTTTACAGATAACTCAACTCCTTTACCCTAGTTTGTGCAAGTATGTTGACTGAATCAGAATTTTAGGCTACATTTCACATTAGAGCCTCAAAATGCACAGACATATTTTCACGCACGTGCGCATGCAAGCTACCTCTTATGTCAACAATGAGGAACGCAAGCTCTTCTAATTATTTACCTCAAAGGACAGTTCATCTGCTGCTTGAGCAATGTATCTCTTAATAACATGGGCAGCAGCAATGGCAGGAACGTTAATGGATGATTCTTCATGGACTAGGAGATGATTCCCCTTGTTATCAATCTGAAAGAGAGAAAATGGTGGATTGTGAAAAAGCTGAAGACGTGTGTTTCCGAGGATATATTTTACTGGTGCTCATGCATGGCAGAGATTTCAAGCTGATTCACAAAGACAGCACAGCTTGGGCTCCCCCTGAAGAGAACAGTGTGGAGGAACAATGTAGGACAGAGCATACATAGAACTGAAGGGGAAGGAGAGTTAATAAAGAACATTTCAGAAGGTCAAATCTCCTTTCCATCCATGTGGCAGGCAATGAGAACGGTCCCTTTCTGCATCCTTTTACATCATTTTAACATGGGGATGAAAGTTAACACCTCCTGTTCTCACAGAATTATTCTGATTTTCTTTATATACTTAACATAGTTATGCAACTACAAAAATGACTGACAAGGAGTGCGTCACTCGGAGGAGGACTGGCAAGGATAGGAAGGGAACATGATTTTTAAATTCCAGTGAGAAATGATGGCTCTGCTGGCTATTTCCCCCTTGCCTGGCTGCCCTGTTTGGTTTTAAAATTCTGATCAGTTCACCTCTCTAAAGCACTAGGTAAGAGACAATTTTATAAGATTTTCAGTTAATCCAGAAACGTCGTTCAGAAGAAGTTACATTTTATTGCAGCTATTTCACTAGCATGTGCAATGGCTTTGCTGTAACCTTCACTTTCACGGTGTTTCTGTAAATTCTCCACTATCATTTGCCTCTCAAAATTCCTGTTCAATTCTCTTTTTGGGCCGAAAATTTTCCATGTCTCAACCCAAAGGGTTTTTCTTTTGTTGGTAAATTAGAGGAGAATGCACTGACCTAAATGATAAGCATTTAAAAATCAGCTACAGGAGAAAGCTAGCAAATTTCTCAAGGGTTTTGCAGTCTAATTACTGTCTTACAAAGGATAGAAGAAGCCCTTACATCAGTAGGCAATAGGAAGACTCTCATGCATCTCTACCCAGCCGGATTAGGGTTGGCATTGTTGACTAAGAAACACAGGTGGTCTTGAGCACTTACTCCCACTATTCTTTCCTTCACCCTCTGTCCAATAAGGTCTATTGTTTGAGCTGGAGGAAGACCATTAACGGATAAATCAGTGCTACAGCTGCAATCCATTAGATGTAAATAGTGCCACTGAAAGCACAGCACAGGCTCTGTTGAGCCACTTAACAGTGATGGTAAACAGGCACAATATTTGCTGTTTCTATGCAGATGCCATTACAAATAAAGTACGAGAAAGATATCAACAGCTTTCAAAAGGCTTGCTACATTAGCAATATCTAGCTGCTGATAGGGAATGCAGGAACAGATATGTGCATCTCCCTCTGGATATTACTTGTCTTATCCTATTCCTGCACCCTACTTTACCAAGTAGCACATTGCCCATTGACTACATTTATGTATCACTCGTGTTGCTATCTTCTATTGCTTTGCAATCAAGAATGAAGGATGTTTCAGATGACAAAAATCCAAATGGGAGAAGGGAAAAAAAAAACCCTCTCAAAGTAGGATTTGATTCTCCCCTACTGTGTATAGCTGCATAGATAGCAAACGTTACCAGTGGCGCAAATTTGGATGTAAAATTATTTAACAACTTCTGTAGAGAGGGAGACTCAGGAAATGAAAAGCAGTCCATAGACTACACAGTACCTCCATCCATGTGAGAGCAGGCCCACAGTTGATCTTGTTGCCTGCAATGGCCGAGAGCCGTGACAGATAAGCCATCAGCATCTGGGTGACCAGCTGAGGAAGCAAAAGAAACAAGAGAATGAGCATGGATCTTCTGCTGATAGGCCATACCAGAGACCTTTTAGCTGTGCATGAGGTTAATGCACGAGGAACGTAGGGGCGTTCTGCATCAATTCCATTTTTTTCCTGGACAAAGTGGGATTCTGTCGTTTGAAGGAGGCGAGAAATTGGTGGAAATTTTGTTACAGGAATTACCCTTTCAGCAACAAACATTTGTCTTTTAAGGAAGATGGGTCCTGTCTCTTGCTTCTTGCCAATTTCAAGGTACCTTAAATGACGAAGGCTGTAAATGTTAAAGTCCTTCTTTTACCACGAATTTCATATTCAAACAGATCATTTCAATTATGACAATCAAACACATCTGAGAGTCATTTAGTAAAACATAACAGAGGCTGCCATTTCCACACAGTTGTAAACACTTTGGAATGTGGCAAGTCAGATCGGTCCCTTTGTGAAACATCCATTTTTCTCACACAATGAAAGACGAGTTTAAAAATATCCTTCCGAGCGCCCTGTTTGCAGTGGTAAAACCACTTTCACAAAAAGGAAAGTGAGTTTGGACACTGATGCTAAGTTGTGGTGATAGTAATGTGAAATATCGGTGCAGGTTAGAGCCTGCAGGAGCAAAAAATGCTGTTCTCCCATGCATCTGTTCTAGTTTGTTTAATCTAAAATAAAAACAAATCAAAAAGCTGCAGGATACCACACAGCTGCAAAACCACATTCCAAGGAGCAGCAGTGACATTTAGTTTCATTGCATCTCTTATGCATCTGGATCCTCTACAGTCAACCCTATACAAAGTACAGTAGGTGCACTGGGAAAACAATGCTTAGGCCTGTGCGAAGTGACTAGTATTCACGGCGGATTTGGCTGATTCGGGGGACAGCGATTCGATTTGGTGATTTGAATTACTGTTCCGAATTGATTCGGCCGAATCTGATTCGGAGATTTGGCTGGGCTGCCCCACCCACCCCAGCTCCCTGCACTTGGATAAAAAAAGGCCGACTCAGTAGGTGCGGCTGGGAGGGGGTGGGGGGAGGTGATCCCCGCTGCCCCCCACTGTCCCATGCAGTGTGGGTGGCTCTGCACAAGCTGCCCAACTCCCAGCCCGCTCTCGCAGCCCCCCCATCCCTTGGTTGCCCCACCTGCCCCAGCTCTGGCCCTTTAAGAAAAAAAATAACCAAAAAACCCCGCACTCGCAGGTTCCTGCCTGGCCGGGTGTGATCCCTGCTGCCTCCCATTGCCCTGTGGTGCATGGGGGGCTCTTCCATGAGCCCCCCAAAGTCCCAAGGCTGCTGCAGAGGCTCATGAGTATGGA